TCCGCCGCCCGCGCTCGAGGCTCGACCCGACGCGGGCCTCCCGCTCCCTGGTCCGTCGCTAGGGCAAAGCTTGGGGCGGGCTCGCGTGGTTATCTCGCGCCATTCTGACATCCCCGCTGGTGCGATTTGCAGGGAGGAGACCCGCATGGTGGCGCCGACCGCTCTCCGCGCCCCGGTCCTCTGATTATGCTCCTGATAATTTAGGATCTCGCTGTTTCCGACGAGGTTGCTGCTCCGAGGGGCAGGATGAGCAGCAGAGCGCAGCAGGGCGAAAAGGGCTCCGAGTCAGCCGCCCGCACGCGGCCTCTGAGCATCCATGAGATCTTGCTGCGGCGGGAGAAGAAGGCCCTCGCAGAGGCTAAGAAGGCCGCCGCGGAAGCTAAGAAGGCCAGGGAAGAGCTCCAGGACAAGGATAAGTGTAAACCTAATCACTCGGAGCCGGGAAGAGGGCACAAGAGCAGAAAGGATCTCAAGGATGTGCCTGCGGAGGGTTCCAAAAAGGAGAGTGTTAGAGATGCGTCAAGGGAGGACTCCAAGAAGGATGATGTGCGGCGTACTTCTAAGGAGGGTTCCAGGAAGGAGAGCATTAGAGATGCACCCTCCAAGAAGGATGATGTGAGGCATGCATCTAAGGAGGGTTCCAAAAAGGAGAGCATTAGAGACGCACCAAAGGAGGTCTCCAAGAAGGAAAACTTGAAAGAGAGGCCAAAAGATGGCTCCAAGGTGGATGAATTGAAAGATACACCAAAGGATCCAAGGAAGGATGACCACAGAGATGCACCAAACAAGGGCTCCAAGAAAGAGAGGTCCTCTGTAAGAGATGATAGTCAGTCAGCTGGCAAAGACAATGATGCTCGTAATTCACATAAACATTGCACAAGCATGAGAGGCCGGCCTGCTGAAAGCAAGGATGGAAACCATGGTGAAATCAGAGCAAGAAATGGTGATGCGACAAGATCTGAGTCTCTAAAGGGACCGGGGAAGAGATGGAATGGTGAACCTGTTCACAATGATAGAATCATGGAGAGGAGCGATAAGCTCCGGAATGAGGCAAAAAGGAAAATCCATGGTTTTGATGATGAAAAGCCTTCATATGTTGATCGACCGGTGCTGAAGAAACATGATTCCGCGCGATTCCGAGTTTCCAAACACTATGACATAAATGATGCAAGGAGAGAGTACGGAAAACCATACCGTGAAGAGCCCAGGTCAAAAAGGAGAAGGTCAAGAAGCAGGGATCATGATCAAGGAAGACGTGACAGATCTCTCTCACTATCCCCAAGGGAACAAAGGCGTAGCTACCATGGAAATGATCATGACAATTATCCTCCTGGAAGGAAGTATGCTGAAAACGACAGGTACAGAACATCTGATAATGTTGGACAAGGTGGTGGGTCTTACCAGAGATATGAAAGTCGGCTTGGTGGCTACTCACCAAGGAAAAGGAAAACAGTGCCACAAGATGAACAATTGACTACCACGATTACCCCACCAGTCATTCGATCACCAGAAAAGAAACCAGCCACGTGGGATCAGCCTCCCACAGCAGCAGACCAATCTAATTTCTTCACCAATTTGCAGCCAATTGTTAGTCAAACCTCTTCTGTTTCAGTCAGTTTTAGCACACCAAAGCAGAACCCTGCTACTGCGCTTGACACTATATTGTCAGGGAATAGTTCGTCTATTGATTCTGTCCAGCTAACACAAGCAACACGCCCACTTAGGAGGTTGCACATCGAGAATTTAACTAGTTCAGCTTCAGAGGATATGTTGATTGGTTGCTTGAATGACTTCTTGCTGTCATCGGGTGTTAACCGTATCCAGAGGTCTAAACAACCATGCCTCAGTTGTACGGTGAGTGATCTACCATCTGGTTGTTCATACTACTTTGCCACATTTTCTTTGTAACATTTATCCACATCCTATGCTCCTTCAATGCAGATAAATAAGGAAAAACGCCAGGCATTTGTTGAATTTCTTACACCAGAAGATGCTACAGCAGCTCTTTCTTTTGATGGAAGATCTTTCAATGGGTCTACTCTGAGAATTAGACGCCCCAAAGAATATATTGAAATGGCAGTAAGATCTCCATACCTTTTGCATCTCTTCTTCTCAATTGATGGTTTTACCTTTTCCATTAATTGCTTGGGTGGTAGTTTGATCTAGATGATTCTCAATTTTAAATGTTTCAAGTGGTATCTGCTGCAAGAATTTGCCAGCTGTTTCATTTCCCCCTTCCATTTGGAACCTATTAGTTTAGAAAATTGCGACTTGGTAAGGCATTTATTGCTTCTGTTCTAGATTATCTTTCAATAATTACTTCTTCCTTTAATATATACTGTCGTGTGGGCTGAGGAAACATCTTAATACTATTACAATTTAATAGTAACCATTCTTCATACTGGCCCGTTGGTGCTCTAAATGATTATGAATCTGGTTATGTACAGTATAACATACTGAACATATTTTTAGGATACAAGATCATCGTTGTTGTTCTACTGTGGTTCTGTTTCTTGCTTGTGCTGCATGACCTATGAGCTTTGGATTGAAGAATTCATTCTGCATGTAAATGATTAGGTTTGTTATTGTTTATGTTCCTGATTCTACTCGCCCTCATACGGGCAGGCTACTGATTGCTTGAATTAGTTTATATTCAAACCTTCTACGTGTTCTCCTAGTTTTATATTTAATACATGCCATATCTGATTCCGTCAGGTGTTGGCAGTTTTTAACATTTCAGAGGCTTCCTGCACGTTTGGAATTTATTTTGCAGCTAAATGACTTGCCTCAACTTGCACATGATCTTTCCATTTTATGCTTGGATACCTTACTTAATTGCTAAGCACTAGCATTCAAGCACCACCCTTGTACTAAATGATATGATATCATAGGGAAGAAGCTCTTTGATCCTCTCGTACATTCTATCACTCAAGAATTGTCTAACCACCAAATGGCTCAGTAATGAAATCATAGCAAAAACAACATCATGCCATTTCATAGTTGCTCTTTGCTTTCAGTTTTTTGCAATTTCAACATTGTAGTGCCTTGTCAGTAATTTGTGTATTATCAGCATGCTATGATTAATGTTGTTATGGTGAACTCCTGATCCAGTGCTCTTATTAACTATTCCAAGTAAGAATTACTGATTAATATGGTTATTGAGTATCATATTCATTTCTTTTTGCATGTTTAACCCTTAGATATGCATGTTTTCTTATGTCTCTTGTATGCAAAAGTAGCTGAGAGTAGTTATTTCAGATTTACTCATGGTGCATAAATTATTTATAGTTGCTGGTTTGGATTTACTCATCACATATATTTGTATCCTTCGGGAAGTTATTGTCTGATGGGCATGTTGGAATCTCTTAAATAGGGTATTTTAATTGGGTGTGTCATAATTCACGTTCAGGATCGTGAAGCAAAGGAATTGTAAAGCAGGCTTCCAGATATAGTGCCTGTATTGTGTGACTGCCACTTCTTCCAAAATCCATTGGTCGCTGATTACAGTGCTGGCAGAATGCCTATGGTGGTCAGTTCATGGAAAAGTAGGAAGACAGTTTGTACAGCATGGTTGAAGTAAATATATTATTAGCGAAGATTTGAGCATGATGATCGTTAATCATAATCATCCAGTCCTGGTTCCAAACATTTATGATCTTAATTCATGACAGTATGAATGGATTGTGGTATCATGAGCTGTCAATTTTTTAATTACTCTGCATATAGTTTAGTGTGACATTTAAACTTGCTATGCTCTTGTTCACTGTACCATGTTTCTGCTCAGCATATTTCCTGGCCCAGATGATGGCATATTTAGCCCCTCTACTTTGTCCGGTTTAGTTTGGAATCTTTACTCTCAAAAGGACCTAATAACTCTCTGTTTGTACAACTGATTTAGTTTTTTTAGATAAGCTGCCCTTTATTTGTAACAATGATTAAGCTGACAACATCCTGGATACATCCAGGAACACTAAGCTGGTAGACCAACGATCAGAGAGCTTGCTCAACCTTGCCAACAAATGAGCCACCTTATTTGCACAACGACTAACATGAACAAAACTAAAGAACTAAAACGTTTCGACAACGACTTGATTTCAGCAACAATGGCACCCACTTGAGACCGATCTCTTTCTCTTAATCAGTATAACTGATATAGTTAGTTCTCATAATCATGACTAAAAGTTTTTATGCAAACTGCTGCAACTGAGATGTCACGGGTAAAGCTGCTGCCTTGTGACCATGAGGTCACGGGTTCAAGTCCTGGAAACAGCCTCTTACAGAAATGTAGGGAAAGGCTGCGTACTATAGACCCAAAGTGGTCGGACCCTTCCCCGGACCCTGCGCAAGCGGGAGCTACATGCACCGGGCTGCCCTTTTTGCTGCAACTGAGATGTAAGTGGTGGGATAGTTTGTAGGTTACATGCAAGTGCAATTTCGCTTTGGGTAGGTTGTTGGCCTTCTCATTTCTCCCTAATGCCTCCTCTGCTCCTCACTAATATAAGTCTTGTCCAACACTACAGTGCAAGAAGGGTAGATACAAAAAGGAAACTCCAATCTATCTGGATGACATGTAAGCAAGAATAGAAAGGAAACTAATAAATCCAGAATCAAACTCAAAGTTCAAGCTGGACTACTTTTGAGCACCTGGAACCATGTGACGAATACCAAATGTTTCTCTTGAAAACTTAGCCATCACACTTTAGAACTCTTCCTATTCTGCTGCATAGGGTCACCCTAATTGCAATGATTGGTTGCTTGGGCATGGTTTTTCTTCTAGTTTAATTTCGTGGGGTCGAGGATCAGTTATGTCAGCCCACAGAGGTTTTGTGGCTAGATGACATGCGATGTGTTTTTTAGCCTGTTGGTAGATTACAAAACCGTATCAGCATTTGCTAATGCCAGCTTGAATTGAACTGGGATACAAACAGGTGAATAGTCCCTCTAAGGACTATGAGTTATAGAAGGACCAAATATACCCAAGCTAATAAGAAACTGATCTGTTTGGCCTATGTAGAATACAGGGATCAAGGTGAGCCCAGGACCCAGAGGCAACTAAAGAGACTAAATATGCCATAATCCCCTTATTTTTTAAATTACCCTTTAGCCGTCTCATTGTTAGAAAACTATGTAGTAAGATTTAAAAACATTTGTCTGATGGAATTTAACCTGCATCCAGTGTGATTTTGATGTTATAGCTGCACCTGTGATTTTGTTGTTCAGAGGGTCTCGGTTAATCTTGTTTTCTAATGCACTTTTCTACTATGCTTATGAATTCAGATGTCTATAAAGTTGAATGTTGCAATGGTTATATTCACATTTTTAAGTTTTCTGCATGGACATTCTTTGGTATACTTGCTGTTTGCACCATTTGACCTATTTGAGTATTGGAAAGGGCAAACTGTCCATGGTGTCAATAATGACATTGCTATCTACTCATTTAGCGATATGTTTGCCATTAACGTACAAAGGAACCAAATTTGATCAACAATAATTGTGTTATAATATGCGTTTCTGCTTTCCTTGTCCAAGACTATTGCTGGCATACTTTTTTTAGACTTCATTGAGTATATTTGAGAAAATTATATATATTGGTTGGCCCACAAGTTAAGTCTGGCTTGTTGAACTGGACAGCAGAATTATATCACTGAATGCAAAACATCACTCTTACATAAAAGCGACCCTGAGAGTATTTAATGAGAAACCACATCTGTGTTTTATTTGAATGCTATAAACCGCTGTGTTTTTGCTATCGTGTTTTTAGTGTGAATTGGCTATTGTATATGATTTCTATAGCTTTGAAGTAGATAATGGTTTCTGAAACCTTTGTTTATTGCACTTTTAATGTTATAACACACTGTTTGTTCTCTGCAGCATGTTGCTCAAAAGAAGCCCGTGGAAGAAGAGATTAAAGAAGCATCTGATGTTGTTGCAGATTCACCACACAAGGTAACTTGCAGGGTTAGAGATGCTTCTTTCTATTTTCAACTCACCAGAATATGAGCGATTGTATTTACAAAGAGAAATGTGGCTAGAAATGTTTTCATATTTGTTCCTTGTTGATATCATACTCCCGTCCCCAGATATATATGATAAAAGTAGGGTGGCTTGTTCAAATTCGTTGAGCACAAGAAGATTCGACCAATAATTATTTAGCCTTCTCATGTGCTGGTCTATCTTGTAATTTTGCAGATTTTCATTGCTGGTATTTCTGATGTTCTTTCATCTGAGATGGTAATACAATTGTGTCCATCAGTATATGTCCGTCATATGTTGCTCTGCGAAGAGCCATCCGTTGAAGCATATGTTCCTGACATTTAGTATGCATTTTCCATTCTTTCAGCTCGTGGAAATTGTTAGTTCATTTGGCCAGTTAGCTGCATACCACTTTGTTTGTAATGAAGACCTTGGTGGGCGATGTGCATTTCTTGAGGTATGGAACTCCTGTTGCATCCAAACTAAGGCTTGTGATATGAATATAGAATCATCATACTTATCTGTGACCAATTTGGTGGAACAGTATATTGATCACTCCATTACAAACAAGGCATGTGCTGGCCTCAATGGGATGAAGCTTGGTGGGTGCATCCTAACTGCTGTTCAGGTTTTTCCCAATCCTCTCGAGGTGCAACCATTTTCATGCCCATTCATGTAGTGTCATGTATCCATTTCATTATTTGTATTGAGTCATATATGCTGCTCCATTGAATTCCAGGTTCGCAATGAAGCTTCCCCATTTTATGGTATTCCTGATAGTGCCAAAGCGCTTCTTGAAGAACCAACAAATGTCCTGCAGCTAAAAAATGTGGTATGCCACAATTTTGTCCCTGCTTGATTATGGTTCCTATAAAATAAATTACTCTTTTCACATCAAAACCATTGGTTACCTATTTTTCTCCCTACTGGATTGACACTGCCGCTATCATACCAACCAAAAAATTTGTTTCCACCTGTGAGCTATTCAACAAGCCATGAATGAATTAAAATAATACAGCAGTACTCTGTTCTCTCACTAATCTGTGATATTGTTGTAGTTAAAAAACACGAGTATCAACCCATTTATCACATTCTGAAGGTTGTACACTTGTGAAGTGTTGATGAACGTGCTATTTATGTAGTTTGACCAAGAAGAGTTTTTGGCACTTTCAAAACCTGAGCTGGAGGAAATATTGGAAGACGTACGCATGGAGTGTGCAAGGTATAGCATTCTGTTACTTTCATGTTTTACTCATTGTCGTGGCTAGTAGCTTACATTATGCACGAGATTGGCAGGTTTGGAGCAGTCAAATCCATAAATATTGTAGAGTATCCTGCTAGCAGTGACAGCATTACTGAGGATGTCCTAGTTGAGCCCAAAGATGAGCCAGTAAAGCTTGAGCCCACTGAATGTCGTGCCAATGATAACTGTGTGGAGACTGGAACAGATTGCTCTTTACCAAGTAGGAGCATAGTAGTTCCGTCCAACCCTATGGAAATTACAGGTGCTGAGTGCCAGGATCACAAAGAGCTTGACACACTTCGTGAATGTGATGGGTCTGCAGCGGCAGATCAGTACACCGACCTAGATGACATCCATGCTAGAGCTGCTGGCCCCACAGTGGATCAACAAACAGAGACCGATCATATGGATTCTGTGCAGGCTGATCAAGATGCTACTGCAGTGGGCGACATCCATGCTAGAGCTGCTGGCCCCACAGTGGATCAACAAACGGAGGCCGATCATATGGATTCTATGCAGGCTGATCAAGATGCTACTGCAGTGGGTGAGATCCATGCTAGAGCTGCTGGCACCACAGTGGATCAACAAACGGAAGCCGATCATATGGATTTTACGCAGGCTGATCAAGATGCTATTGCAGTGGATGACATCCATGCTAGAGCTGCTGACCCCACAGTGGATCAACAAACAGAGGCTTATCATATGGATCCTCTGCAGGCCGATCAAGATGCTACTTCAGTGGGCGACATCCAAGCTAGGGCTGCTGGGCCCAGAGTGGATCAGCAAACGGAGGCTGATCATGTGGATTCTTTGCAGGCTGAGCAAGATGCTACTGCAGTGGGTGACATCCATGCTAATGCTGCTGGCCCCACAGACACAGTGGATCAAGAAATGGAGGCTGATCATATGGATTCTACGCAGGCTGATCAAGATGGTACTGCAGTGGACTACATCCAAGGTAGAGCTGCTGACATGGATTCTACACAAACTGATCAAGATGCTTCTCCAGTTGGTGAAGATAGTTTAGGAGAAGGACATGCAGGCCCAACAACTTTGGAGGCCTGTGGTTCTACTACACCCGTAGGTGTGGTGGAGAAATCCGAAACTGAGAAGGAGCAACAAAGCGCTGATGATGTGAGTGAAAGTGGTGCAGAAAAACTACCCGTTGCTCCAGTTTCAGACACCATCGTGCTGGAGGCTGGCTCTATACTGGTGGAGTTCATGCGGAAGGAGGCTGCATGCATGGCCGCACATTCCTTACATGGGCGCAGCTTCGGCGACAGGACCGTGTCTGCTGGATACGCCCCTCATGCTCTCTACCTGCAGAGGTACCCGAGGTGATTTCCGCCGCGACGGTGATGTTCCGATGGCACCTGATGCTTGTGGCTGTAATAGAAACACATAGGTCAGGCCTTGTAGTTTTGATGTTTTGGATGGGTCAGTCAAGTAGCTTGGGATCAAGATGATGTACCGTTAGTTGGGAGGTAATCTAGTAGGAGACCCATAGCAGAAGCACTTTTGGGGTGAAGACAATGGGATAACCACGGGCCGTTAACATTTTTGTTGTGAATTTTTGATACCTGTATTTTTGCAGTGAGGGGAAAGAACCTGAACATCATTCCCTTGTTATCGTTGCTGTTGATTTTGGGTTACATTACATGGGTGGGTGTGAGGCTCTTTTATTATATATGAAAAAACAGACACTTATACTCTCTCCCCATGGTAATTTCCATTGGCCATTTCAGGCAGGATGCATCCATAGTTGGTAGTATGAACAGGTGGAACTTCATATTGCTGTCAACTTCCGTCGCCTCACCCACATGCACGCGTCGAGTTTTGTGAGCCCGTTAATTGCAGTTATTTTTTTTTCAATTTGTTTGGGTAGTACGCTGTTACCGACTCCTTTTGGGTTTAACCGATTACACATGTAGAGATTGGCATTTTGACCTTTTGGATTCGTAGGTCAACTTGTCAGTAAGCAGCGTTTGATCAAGATGATGTGGTTAGTTGGTAGACGGGCATGGCTCCCGTGGAGGAGCATATATTCCTGAAATAAAACCTGGCTAACCCAATTGCACATCACAAACAATTCTCCTATTTTTTTCCCTAGATGGTACTACATGTTAATAGCAGCTCATTCAACTTTACTGGAAATAGCACTTCTGAAGAATGTCAAAATATACATACACGTAACTTGCAGTTCCCATTTCAAAAATCGTGCATAGGTTGATGAGAGAAAATGAGAGCTTTACCGATGTTAAGTGACAAGAACAGCTTCCAACCCTGGGTCAGCAGAGAAGACGATTAACTTATATAAGACCCAAATACGCCAGGCAAAAGAAAAAAAAAACTTAGGCCATTTCTAACCGATCCCCTAAAAGGCTATAAGGGAGTAAATTTTTTGGTTTAGTCCCTTACGACGGATGTAGCCGATCCCTTAAAACAGTTAACGGAGTATTTTTTTAATCCAACTTCCTATTCCCCTATTTTTTCCCCTAAATTTAGTCCAATTTTTTAGGCCGAGTAAAACTGAGCCTCTCCCTCCCGCGCAGCACTGCCTCCCGCCCCCGCTACCGCAAGCTCGGCGCCGGCAAAGCAGCAGCAGTGCGGGGCCGAAGCCGTGCTCGACATGCTCGCCGCAAAGAAGAAGCTGCCACCGAGGGGCTGGCTGCTGCTGTCCGTCATGGAGGCGCCCCCCTGCCCTGGCGCAACCCCCCACCGGTGCACGCGCTCGACACGCCCCCCTTGAGCGGCGACGATGGAGCAGGAGATGTCCATGGAGGAGCTGCGGAGGAAGGAGCAGAGCATCGCCGAGCTCGCAGGATTCATTGCCGTTGGCTACGGCGGGTGCCTGTACCGTGCCGGGTCAGCTCAGGTGGACGTACCCCGCCCCGCCCCGCTCCTGGACCTCGCCGTCGCGGCGTACAACGGGTAGGCGCGCGGGATCGGATGATGGAGGGGGTCCGGGCGGTTCCCGACGGACCTGGTCCAGGGCGCGTTCGGCTCCCTCGTCTCGGCGACGGCTTCACCTGCGCGCTCGGGACCGGCTCCTCCTCCGCGGTCTCCTGCTGGGGCCGCGTGGCTGCTGGTGTCTGCTTGGTGCTCTGCTCCAGCTCAGGCGCGGGCGCGCTCCCACAGAGCGACTTCGATCCCCACGGGCTCGCCGTCGGCGACTCACACGTGTGCGGGCTCCAGCTCAGGCGCAACCACACCACAATGTGATGGAGCCTCGCCTGTGGGACGGAGTTCGCGTTCCTCGTCGCCGGCGGCAACCTCACGTGCGGCCTCGTCACCACCAACTTCACCGTGTTATGCTGGTCGCCGACCTCGTCGGCGGCGGACAATGCGGCTGGCGGTGACAGTGCCGTTGCCCGCGATTCTGCCTAGCTCGTGCGTCCCCGACGAATGCCGCGTCCTCCCGCGGTCCGCGGAGCTCTGCACGAGCGCGTGCCGGCGACGGCGTGATCTGCAATAGGCTGTGCGGCATCTGGCGCATGATGCAGTAACAGCTGCCGTAGAACCCGGCGCCGGCGCGCGGGAGCGAGGCGTGCAAGAGTGGCCGTAGTACTATTCAACTGTAGGCGTGCAAGTTACAACCACGGCCATCTTGCTCGGGCAAGAAACTAATTAACCTCGTTTCGTTTACATGTAAGCAGCATCCTTGTCGGTCCGGTCATCTCACCAGTAGAAAAAATGGTCAAACGTGAAGCACATTAGTGCCAGTTTGAATTTGAGCCGGCACTAATGGTACCATTAGTGCCGGTTCGAACGGCTATCCATTAATGCCGGTTCGTGTTGAACCTTTAGTACCGGTTTGTGTCACGAACCGGTACTAAAGGGGTCTGACCTATAGTACCGGTTTGTAACACAAACCGACACTATAGGGCAATTTTCAAACCCCCCGTGTGTCGCCATTTCAGTTCTGGAAAAATCAAAAGAAAATGATAAAAACTTCAACAAATAAAATCCTTCGAGAGGTAGTTATATTACTACATCTACTAGTTAGGAAAATTTGAAAACTTAAATTTGAACATGTTTTGCAAAAAGTGTAGGGAAAATGAAAAACGGCTATAACTTTTGCATACGATGTCGGAAAAAAACATATAATATATCAAAAAATTCAGCACGAAAATCCGCATCCGATGGAGACCGCCTACGGCATGTTTGCAATTTTTTAGAATCCTCAAATTCCAAAAGGAAAAAAAAATGGTCAAATTTAAGGTTTTTTTAATTTTTTTTGTTAAATCTGGTCAAACTACTTATTCAAGAAGTATTAAGGTTACTACATAATTATTCAAGAATATTAGTGTTACTAAATAATTATTTCAATTTTTTATATTTTGGTCAAATCTGGTCAAACTATGGTCAAACTGTGGTCAAACTATGGTCAAACTATGGTCAAACTATGGTCAAACTTATTCAAGAAATATTAGTGTTACTAAATAATTACTGTTTTTTAGAATAATAGTTTCAAACTCAAACAGTGAAATGTGTGATTTCATGCTCAAGCTAAACTCCTGAGGGTTAATAGGATTGACATCTTACTATTGTCAGGAAAACAACAAGTGCAGATTTGGAAACGAAGGAGAATAGAACCCGAAAGTTAAGCGTGCTCAGGCTGGAGTAGTGAGAGGGATGGGTGATCGGTTGGGAAGTTATATGATTTGGAATGAGTGATCCACACTTGAGCAGTTAAGAGAGGTGATTAGAGACTAAATCACCAAATAATTCAGAAAAATGAAAAATCGAAAAAAATAATCAAATTTTTTTCCAAAATTTTCAAAAAAAAAAAAGATTCAAAAAAAACCTTTAGTACCGGTTGGTAACACCAACCGATACTAAAGGTCCCCCATACCAGGGCGCGAGCTCACGCCATGTGGTGGCACTTTAGCGCCGGTTCGTGCCGAACCGGTACTAAAGGGGGGGGGGGCTTTAGTGCCCACCAATTAGTGCCGGTTATGGAACCGGCACTAAAGGCCCTTACGAACCGGTTTTAAAGCTCCGTTTTCTACTAGTGTCTGTCGATGCGTCCAATGGCACCACCTCTCTGTGCAGCACGTCATGGTCGTCGCTCGTACACTGCAGCACCATGCCGCCAAGTACCACCAGCTGACACAGTTTGAAGTCTCTGAGAGGTTTGTCGTGCGTAGCACCTGTCGAACAGGCATGACATAGCGTAGCACCTGTCGGTCAAGCATAGCTTGACATCTCCACCGAAGCTCCGTGCAAGACGAAGCCGCTTCACCTCCTGCCTTTATCTTCCAGCGCTGCTCCACAAACAATGCTCCCAAGAAAGAAACGACATTGCAGTGCCGCCATCGTCCGATCTGAAAGACAATGGTCCTAGGCAGTGGCGGAGCTACTCTCAAAAGCATGGGCGGGCCAGTCTAAAGAGAAGCCCAATATTTTTGATAATTATGAGCCACATTTACCCTTAGCCCAGCCTGTTGCATGAAAACTTGGGCGGGCCATGGCCCTTTTTCTACAACGTAGCTCCGCCAGTGGTCCTAGGGCTCTCCCTCTCTCTCTGAATAGTATGAGTGGATCGACAATAGTTACACGACGATGCCTTCATAAAGGTTTTCAGCAGCAACTATGTCTCCTCGACTCGCAGCCGGGACTAGATGACGGATCTCGAGATCCGACCACCTCCAATGGAGGAGATGACCACCATCGCCATAATCCTCGTGATACGTGGCAGAACCAGAGTACCTCCGCAAACCGTCACCTAAGCCAATGAGAGGCGGTAGGTTGAGAACGCGACGACAACAACCCGCCTATGATCCGTCCATGTTTTTCGAGTCTACGTACTCTGCTATCCGCTACGTGCAGCGGCGAGCTCCCGCGCTAGCTCCTGGACGTGACCCTGGTACGGGTGCGCGGCCGAGCTGCACGCACAACCGTTCCCCGGCTTCCTCCACCGCCTGTAGCAGCGCCACCCCCCGCTCCAGCTCGGCGTTCGGGCGCCACATCAGCAGTGCCTCTTCCTCGCCCTCCGCCGGTGCAGCTCCGGCCTTCCTGCCGCTCTTCCATCCCGAGGCTGGCGAGGCAACGACAATGGAGATGGACGGTGTGCAAGAGCGACCGAGCGTTCATGGCGAAGCAGTGGTGGTGCATCTTGTCTCAGCAGCAACAAGCGGGTGCACGACAATTTCTTTGGCTGTGGGACGACGTCGACGTCCTTGGGCTTGGGCGTGGTGGACATGGCGACCGGCTTAGGAGGCGGCCTGGGCGGCGCGGCGGCAGTACCACCGGCGTTGGAGTTGCTATTGGGCGGAGGAGGCGGCTCTCGGAGAGAACAGGTTGATGCGTAACTATTTCGGTTCAGCATCCGTTTTTCT